GTCAGGGTCTACGGTGTCCTATCGGATAGCTTTTCGACTACAAGTGGCGTTCGTCAGGGTTGTCCGATTTCCCCGCTTTTGTTCAATTTCGTCGTGGATTCTATCATGGAGTGTTCCCTTGCGGAATCTCACGATGTAGGCGTTGAAGTGCTGCCTGGTGAAAGGTTAGTTGATCTAGATTATGCGGACGATATCGTCTTGCTTTTCGACAATGTTGAGGCGGCACAATCAACCCTGAATAGCCTGTCCAGAGTGGTCCCATTATTTGGTATGCACTTCGCACCTTCAAAGTACAAAGTGTTGCTGCAGGACCACCAGCCACTTGATGACCCCTTGACGCTTGCTAACGAGGAACTCGAGGTGGTTGATCAATTCACTTATCTTGGCAGCTGCATCAGCAATGATGGGCGCATAGAAACTGACGTCAGTTCACGCATTGCAAAGGCCAGAGCTGCCTTCTTGAACCTGCGTCATCTTTGGCGACAGAAGGGAGTTTCCCTCCGTCTGAAAGGCCGTGTATACAAGGCCACAGTGAGGGCCGTTCTGCTCTATGGTAGTGAAACTTGGCCCCTTCGGTCTGAAGACCTGAGGCGCCTTCAAGTCTTTGATCATCGTTGTTTGCGAAGCATTGCTGGTGTCGGATGGCACCAGCGTGTCCGCAACGATGATGTGCGTAGGCGAGTACTAGGTGGTGATAATCATGCTAGCTCCCTAGAACAACAAATAGCACTGAATAAATTGCGTTGGCTCGGGCACGTGCTACGCATGCCTGGTCACCGCTTACCTAGGAGGGCCTTGTTCAGTCTGCCAGGTGTAGGATGGCGCAAGGCTCGAGGTGGACAGAAGTTGACTTGGCAGCGGGAAATGAAGTCACTGACGACCAAACTGGGTGCCGTTGGTCCGTCTCGCCTTCCGGGTTGGAGTCCACGTGACTCACCTTGTGCTTGGCTCGAGACTTTACAGGACATGGCTCGCAACCGACACCAGTGGCGCGTTTGCTGCCGTCTCCTAATCGGATTGTCTGTTTAAAGTGTGTTTGGTGCTGAGTTATCTGCGGGGTAATGGCTGATTATGACGCGTGGCAGTGAAAGCCGCAAGGAAGCTGTCTCGCCGATGCCGCCTTATCCTTGCACGATAGCCAGCTGTTGGTGACGGTATGTTGTTTACACAAGGTGTAGGCGCCTTGACCCTGAATGTTTGCTTAGGGCATTAAGGTTTTCAGGTAAGTCCCCCTTCTCTCCCTCTTCTTATTTTTTCTTTCGTAGGTCCTCATGGTTGTATGGCAGCGAAGCATCAGTTCAAATGGCTGATGTACTGCTGTTGATGATGATGATAATGTCTGGAAGGAACAGAGTGTCGGATAACTGGAATAGATTGGTTATGGTGGCAATGTAGGAGAAGGGAGGTCGCACCGACTGTGCTAACTACAGGGGTATTAGTCTAACGCCGATGATGATAAACTTACTGGCCTGGATTCTCGTTCGCCGCCTTACTGCGGATCGGGAACCCGGATTGGGGCAGTGAAGTCAGCTTTCCACCCAGGACGTGGCTGTGTAGACCACATATTCACTCTGCGTCAGATGCTAGAGCAGCGTCACGCATACCCCAGACCGACAATAGCTGTGTTCCTCTATTTCAAGAGTGCGTTCGACTCAGTCGATCGATGCATTCTGTTCTAAATACTTGCGCGGAAAGGTGTTCCCATGAAACATTTGAACACTTTACTTGCTCTATACTCGTACGCGACAAGTGGCGTCAGGGTCTTCAGTGACTTTTCCAATATCTTCCTAACAACCAGTTACTTTTCTCTATGGTTGCCCTATTACTCCATTTTTGTTCTATTTTGTCTTGGACTCCATCATGGAGTGTTCATAATTCTTAATATTACAATACATACGTTGACATATTGTCTTGTGACGGGCTGATTGACCTTGCTTCTGCGGACAGTTTTGTCTTGTAGTCTAACGATGTCTAAGCGGCCTATTCCATTCTGTATAGCGTCTCTGTAATGTCCCGGTTGTATCTGATGCGCTGCGCACCTTCAAGGTGCAGTGTTATAGCAGAACTATCATCCCATTGAGTCTTGATAGCGTGGAACTCGCGTTAGTTGATCAAATCACTTCTTTGCAGCTGCATTAGCAACGATGGGCGCAAAGGCACTGAAGTGGGTTCAAGTACTGGAAATGCCAGAACTGTCTTTTTGAATCTGCGACGTCTTTGCCGTTTGGAGGGAGTTTTTCCTCGATCTTATAGGCCGTGTTTACAAGGCTACTGTAAGGGTCGTCTTACTGTATATTAGTGCAACTTGACCCCTTCAATCTGCGAATCTGAGGCGCCTTCAACTCTGATCATTACTGTCTGCGAGGCATTGCCGGTGTTGGGTGACACCTGCGTGTTTGCAACGATAATATGCGTGCGCGGGTACTAGTCAGTGTTAACCAAGCTGGTCCCTTTGAACGACGCTGCACTGAATAAGTTGCGTTGGCTGGGGCACGTGCTACGTGTGCCTGGTCAGCGTTTACCGAAGAAGGCTGTTTTCACTGCCAGATATCGGGTGGCACAAGGCTTGGGGTGAAAAAAATTAACTTGGCAGCGGGAAATGTAGTCACTGACGATCAAACTGGGTGCCGTCGGTTCTTCTCGTCTTCTAGACTGGAGTCCGCGTCACTCGCCTTGTGCTTAGAGGCGTTACCGGACATGGCTCGCAGTCGACACCAGTGGCGCGTCTGCTGCCGTCTCCTACTCGGACTGCCTGTTTGGTGCTGAGTTATCTGTGGGGTAATGGCTGATTATGACGCGGGGCACTGAAAGCCCCAAGGCAGTTGTCACGCTGATGCGGCGTTATCTTTGCACCATAGCCAGTTTTTCGTAACAGTATCTTGTTACCACAAGGTCTATGCGCCTTGACCCTGAATGTTTATTTAGGGCATAAAGGTTTTTCGGTAAATCCCCTTTCTCTCCTTCTTATTATTCTTCGTTCCGTAGTTCTTTGTGATTGTATGGCTGCGGAGCATCTGTTTAAATGCCTGATGTACTGCTGCTGCTGATTATGTTGCCTATACTATACCCTTGTAGGAGCTACAGCCACCGACTCCATTTCTTGGACTATTACTAGCATATGTAGTTGATTTGGCTTCTTATAGCGCCGTAGCTTTTGGAGAATTAATGCTGCGCCATTACCTTTGGCCACCATCATCAATTTACTAATCTCTACCAACTGTATCATCTTTCTTGCAACAAAATGCCTCTATCGAATTTTGTAGAACGACTCATTTAATTCTTGCATGCTTATACAGCAGTTTGTTGGCCTACTGATATTCTGATGCTTACAGCCGGTAGCCGAAATTATTACCCGCTTGCCCTGTAATCCGAAAGTCACTGGATCGAATCCGCGTAGTTGCGGGCGAGCTTGCGGTGTACTCAGCCGACGCACTACTGTTGATGGTAGTGTGGCAGCGAAGAGTTGTTACGCTGTGCCGTCGTACTGGTGGTGCTTTTTATACTCACAGCTTAGTTACTTTATCCTTTGCCGCTTTTATCTTGTGTCTGATTCACATCGGGTGTAGTATCATAAGGGAACTCAGAGTAGCCAAATGTCCAGGAAGTGTAACTTCGCTGGTGCCAGGAGAATTGCTTGAACTTTTTGTAATTGCACCAAAATGGAACTTGGAGTTGTTTAGAAAGCGTGTCTTATTTTACAAGACAAAACCATGTTTTGTGTCGGAACACTTCGTGCCCCGCATCCGAACACTGTGTTTTTGTATTATGGTACATTTGTTCCCGTCGCATGTTTCAGATTGATAAATAAACGTTTGCGCTTCTGCTATTGCGGCCTGCATCGTTATTTTCGGGTCACGCTCCAGCATTCCAAGTACTTTGGTACGGATTTCGGCATCATTTGGGGACTGAAGGCTGCAGGCCAGTATAAGGCACTCAAACTGATTTTCAGTAAGCAGTTTTAGTTTGACCTTTTGGCACTGCCGTTTCACTGTGGCCGCGTGAGCAATGAGACTGTCGCCATCTCGTTTACACAGCTTCAAACAATTATATCGGTTATTAAAAAGTGATGACTGATCGCAGAATATTTCGGCAAGGCACGTAATTTTATCGTCAAAGTTATGGTTGTTTTGACTCTTGGGTTAAATGAAATTGACGTATCTGTCGTGATCAACAGACCTGAGCTTCCATAGCAGTATGCTGACCTTTGACGCGTCATCAAGTTTTGTAAGGTCCGTTTTGAAGATGTCTTGGTAGCGGGGGAACCATATGTCAAATGTCAACCCAGAATCGGTGTCAAAACTGAACTCAGTGATGCCGTTGGTTAGTGTATCAACCGAAGATTTGGAGACCTCGTTGGATGCCGTCGGCTGTCTCGATAAGGCGTAACTGACAGGCTTCCAGCTGCTGCTTTTGCTGGGACAAAATGCTTTTCAGGTAATCGGGTGGGAGTGCCATGTTGATTAAGGGTACCTTCGTCGTCAGAATCTTACGACTACCGAGCAGGACTGAGCACCCGCTTGATTCTGCCTTGAGAACGCAGAAAGCGATGGCCACAGCGCAACGTGTATTGATACAAAGACCTTGGGAAAACAGGAGGAAACACACCAGAACCAGTCAGTCACAGTTGAATGCACATTTGGTTACATAGGACCCCGGAGGTACAAATGGTGTAGGTTTTGTGTGAAACGCGACAGGAACAAATGTACCAGAATACAAAGACACAGTGTTCAGATGGGGGGCACCAATTGCTCTGACACAAAACATGGTTTTGCCTTGTAAAATAACACACTTGATTTCTCAGCAACTCCATGTTCCGTTTTGGTACACAGATACAAAAAATCCAAGCAATTCTCCTGACCCCAGCCAAGTTTCACTTCCTGGACATTTCGCCACTCCGGGTTCCATTACGATACTATATCGAGCATTATCTTGCTATCCGTAACCATTTACTGTTTGCGCAATCGTGTTCAACTGGCTCTTGTTTTACCGCTTTTTTCCAGAAGCACACAGCTGAAATTGCGTGATGTCACTTTTTCCATGTCACATTTTCCTTCTGAACCCGACGCTGCACCCATTACGACATCATCTTTGGTTGGAGAGTACGTTTTTCGTTCTCCTTTCTTTCATCTCTCAAAGGAGCACTTGCTTCCTCAGTACCTCAGAAGTACGCACCTAGTTAAACTTCGTTCGTCTAGTGAGAGCTCATCTCCTCTACCTCTTGATTTTGACACGTGTCCTTTCAACCTGACGATAGACAGCAATGGACCGTCGTTGAGTGCACAAGACACGGAGTCATCTAACCGACAAGCAACACCTCTATTCATCATGCAAACTTGCATACGGGAACTAGAATTGACCAGCGGGTGGCATGAAGGACAAAATGTATGCCCAGTACAAATGCGGATTGGTGCGTTTTGTTTTGTTGTGCAGGTGAGCTCTTCTTTTTACCCATTATCATATGGTTTGCATGTGGATCACTTGGGACATGGATCGGTTTTTCCCCATTGTGAATGCTTTGATTTTTGGCTCGGGGTTTACCTGTGTTGTGATATGGATATCCTTAATCTCTGTGAAGCGTGCTCACTTGCTGTGATTTGACTCCGTACGCTGTCATGTTGACCGACGTTCCGTGGAATCAGCAGTTGTTCTCCATGGAGACAGCTGCACTCCTACCAAGCTCCCCTTTTTCGTGTTAAACCAATCGTTGCATCCTTTATGTTGTCCCTGATTCTACTGTTCTCTCAGTAAAAGTAAATTATACCTCGTGATTTTAGCACCGTGATCAATGCCCGTCGACCCATCCTCTCTCTCGGGCCAAATTCTGCTTACCTACTGAGGGTCATGCGTGTATCCATTGCACTTTCATTGCCGATCATTCACTATGGCACGACCGGTCTAATCTACTACCACTACTATGTTGTGGGTCGTTGAAAGTAGGCCTTTGGGCACCCAACCTTATTTGGACTCCCTTATTTTTAATTATCTCCTCTAGCGCTCATCTTCGGATTTTGACATCGACGCATCGTTTACCTTATGCCAAGCGAGCTACGTTTATAGCCCTGCTGAAGTTCTTTTCCACAAGAAACTGCTCTTCAGTATCCGGTCTGCTACTTGGCTTCTCGAGCAGGATGAAACTTTGACACATGGGCGTACTGGGTGTGTTTTGGGCTTCCCTGATTGTTGTCGTAGTGTTGGACCAGGGGGCGCGGATGCAGAACCGCAATATTCATGCTCAATGGGCATTAACGAATCATGTGCCTTCGATTTTCCCGGAGTTGCTGCCATAAATGCTGCATCATGCCGCACAGTGAGTTGATCCATATTTAATGTCGTTTCCTCGTATTTATGCAGCCGTTCTTTTTTGTTGCATGGTTGGAACGTGGATCAACGAGTTCGTTTGCGAAATAAATTGCGCGGTTTTTTATTGTGTTACTTGTCATTATTTGCTTTTTTAGTAGTTTATTGACCCTACTGTTCTGTTGTCCCCTTCCGTTTTATCTATTGCACCTCCTGCTAGATCAACCAACAAGGGCCTGATACCCCTCTTCCTCCCTCTTCAGCGATTGACTGTGGTCGCGGGACTTACTATACTACCGTTGCAAAGTGTACATACGCTTTTCTGCTTCTCCAAAAGCTACATATGATATGCCTTGAGCAGATCGCAGTGGGACTCTGAAATCATGCTTCAGAGCTGAGAGGGATTTCCGATGCGTCGTGGGCAGTCTTTTGGTTCAATGACTCCGGGTGGAGTCTGTCAAGCAAATCTTCATTAGACCTAGTGACTTTTGGGTCAGATTGTAAATAGGAAGACTAATTAAATGTATCTTCCCCGACTGGACGCGAAGCTGATCCCTCATATCAGATCACTAGGTACAGGATTTTCATACTCGTGCGTGAGTAATCCAAAAGGAGGTAATATCCCTCATGATTCCGAGATTTAGAAAAGGTAGACACAAGCAATTTCTGCATACTAAACACTTCATGAATGTCGATGGCTGAACTGGGATCCACTATGAGGAAAACCACTGGCAAATGAGAATGTTCCGGTCTGGAGATCAGGCCAAATCCATCGATCGATTTCAGTGCATTTAGGAGATCCAATTCATTGTTGTTTCGTCAAAGGAAATATGTACGATAGCATCTGATGTAACAAGAAACAGGTGCTCGGTGTAGATAAATAAACTTAAGAAATTTGAGCAATGTAAAGTTCCAGTATGTGGCACGATTCTCTGGCAATGTATAAAATGTGTTGTAAAATACTTCCTTAAGATTTCTCTATTGGTTGACCTTCAGGAGTGAATGAATCGGCACTGGATTGTCTCTGGGCGGTGTTTCTTTGAAGTTCAAGAACTTTATCACGAGCAATATCGCGCTACTTTAGCGCCTGGTGACGAAGAGTTCAAAAATTCAGGCTATGGTATTTCCACGATAAAGTTCATACAATCATTCGGAAACAAGAAGTGACTGTTAGCTCCGACAGTAAAATGAATCGCTCAGTATAATGTTCGTGATAATTTTATGTTCGTACAGCACCTTGAAGATGGAAACCTCAAACAAAAGAAAATGTTCTCACGAGATGTACCTTTGTTATTCATAAGTGTAACGCTGTTAGAAACCATGGCCTACTTACGCAAATACGTGCAATAGAACAGTATTCATTTACGTATACGCTTTCCAAGCTTGAAAGAGTTACTGTTGACTTACACCTTACCTGTCCGCGATAATAGGGTGGTTTTATTGCACAATCTTTCTCTTAGGCTGTACTGGAGGGTTCTTGGAATGCATGCCTTTAGTAACTGTGACAGTCGATGGACATTTTTGCAAAGAAGACAAACTCCGTTTTTATCTTAGACTGTGGCGGCACGATATTTTACTACTGCCATGTGCCCACATGCCTTTGAGTAAAGGACCCATGTGTTTAAGCATTTCGGTGAGGTTTTCTCCCGTACTGCGCTACACGGTATTCAGAGCAAGCGACCCAGACACTATCTACCTTAGATATCGTCTCAGGGCTCGTAATGGCCGAGGTCTACTTCACAGCGGTCAGAACCTCATCGTTGGGTCTTAAAGTAACCCCGTGTGTCTGGATTACGACACATTCTCGATTGTGGCCTCTGTGTCAAGCGCTGCTCCCGGAGTTCTGGTCTATTGATCTGTCATGTATGTCGGGTTCCACTCTCAGCTCAAACTCTCTCTACCTGATGGGTCCAAATCAGGACGAAACTAGTCGGTCTTGGATTGTAGTGTTTGGAGAAATCAGCTCCGAAACTCTCCACTTTGGTAGAGGTTTACTTCAAAGCGTACCGTGGCCTTAATCGAGATTGCGTATCGCAATCTATACCATTTCCGAGGCAAGTTAGTTAATAGAGGAAGCAAATTGGTTCATAAGCATTTTCAACTTGGTTCGTAAGCATTTTCAACTTGGTTCATAAGCAGTTTCAAGTTGGTGCGTTTCAAAGTTTGGCTAAGATGCACACACGCACCGACGAGTAGCTTCCTCATTGGTCAGACACCGTCGGCCAACAGGATGCAATGTTTCACTATTGAGCAGGTGTTCTCAAACTTTTCGGCACGTGCACTCCTTTGTAGTGTAACCTAGCACGACGGACCCCTGAGCTTTCCTTATCCACAGAACTAGGCTTTAATAACATAAGAATGAGGTGGAGTTCATAGCTGCACACTGAATTTGCACAGTTGTTCATTTATGTTGGCAAAAGTGAAGGCTGTTGAACTTACATGCAAATGCAACTATATTAAGGCCTAGTACCTTGGATAAAATTCGTTCCAACATGCAGCGCTGACTTGTTTGATACTAGGTGTTATTGAGGAAAGCTATAACCTTGGATCTGGTTACGCTTCAGGTCTGTTTCGGTACTTTGTTTTGTATAGATATAATGTGAGAATGCAATCTCACACAGATAAGTTGTGGCAAATGGGAGAAGCACGGCGATATCTGTCTACTATGACAAGGTACACATCGTTCGCTTTGCATCAGAAATCACACAGAGTCTGTGAAAAGCTTTTTGAAAGGAAGAGTCTTAGGTCATCTCCATGTATTTTGTATGCATGGCCGGATACATTTCTCGGTTCTGCTGTCAGCGCATTACGATAACTAACGATGTTAGATGCTTCCGTAGCTCTTTTACAGTCTGCGACGCTTTAAGCATGTACGTTTTGGTGTTCAATATTTCATCTCACATGCGCTGTATGTGCCTTTTTCTGTCTTTACAGTCCGTATGAACTTTTCAAATTGCCGCTGCATTTTAATAGGTACCATGTTCAGAAGAACTTTGTTACACAAGTCAGTTTGTGGACAATTATTGGACTCTATAAATCCAAAACAAAGAGAAATGTTGTTGTATTTCCGCCTCTTACCCACTGGTACAGAGGGTCCGGTTGGCACAGACTTATATTACACCACATCAGGTAGTACAGAAACATCGCACGTCTTAGTTGCTGCATGCTCAGAAAGCACATTGGATGGCCCAACTACTACTACATCTGAATTCGACGAAGAATATTCCTGTGAAACATTTAGCAGTATTTCATTCTTCAGTTCATGGTCTCTGTTGATGTTACATGTCTAACTACCACAATGGAGATAAATAATGTAACACAAGAGTCCAAAACACACCAGGAATTTCGTTACTATGATAAGTTGTACTTTGAACGAAGTATCGTAGTGAACGAAAGTGCCACCCTTTCGTAACGTCGCTGATGTAGTTTCCCTCGAGTTCGCATAATCGGCTGAGCACATTCGTTAAACACAGAAATATCCACGCTTTCCTGCTGAACTTCCATTGAAGCGATCCCGCAAACGGGCCTCCCTTCCGGTTTGCTTATTTTTCGGAGAATAGTAACACTTGAAATGACCGCAAACTTGAGCCCTATCATATGGCATACTTCTCGCTGCCTCTCCAGGGACAGAGACTGGGTTATATGAGCTTGAGTGGACGTAGAATGACCCATCTAGCCACTGCCCATGGCATTACGGTGAAATTAACACACCAACTTTCTGAACTTGGAAAGCCTCGTTCGCTCACATTTTAACTCCCAGCCAAAACAAGCTTCCTCCTTGGAAGAGGTATGTTGTAGGGGCAATGCAATGTAAACCGTTAGGTTTGATTTAAATATTTTTACTGCACGTTTGTCATAAATTTGTGACATAGACTGATCGCGTCCATAAAATTTCCTAATAGAAGTATAACACTGGGAGATCACGCGAATTCCCTGAAAGTAACCCACGTACCCCCTGGGCATCCGCGGACCAGCCTTTTGAGAAACAGTACTATAGAGATTGTTATACTCATAAATTATGCGCATTCAGACATGAAGAGAACAATTGGGAAGAAATTTCTTTTCCATAAATATCGTCAGGCGCTACAATTATGAAGCAGATAACTGAAGGTTGCAGAAGCTATTGCTAGCTATGTACAAGGACAAGGACGTCGGATGATAGAGGAAACGGTGAAACTGGGAACTTATTACGTACAACAATCAATGACAGATTCAAAGGAGTCACGATGGACCGGTGACCTTGAGGCCTGCTAACTGCGTGAGGACCAGTTCAGAATTAGCGCTTGCACGAGAGCTTGCTACTTACATAAATCCGGCTGAAGGCGTCCGATAGCAATAGCTTCAGCTATACTCAGGAAGCGCCTTTTGAGTCCCTTTGAGCATCGCTATGGGGCAACTAGGAGAACCCTAAATGAGTATTTAACACGACATTGATGCGCGGTGTTGATCAGCTGCTCACAGATGCGATAACCGCAGAGCAGTAACTCTTCTGACTGAAGAACATTGTGATTGCCTAACTGTGAAAATGCACACTGATAACTGCACATGGTCAATAATATGACAGTCTTATTGCATGTGCCATGATTGAACAGGTTGCATTTCGAGTTAGAGGGACACTTACAGGGAATAATATAATAGCACGAGCAATGAAAATAGTGCTTAGCAAGTCTCGTATTTTGTTAGGCTGCAAGCCACAAGCACTAGCGCACAAATACAACGGATCACCGTTGTATTTGTGCTATGAGAGGGAAGTATTACTGCAATACGCAGCTGGGAAGTGCGATCCACGGAAATGGTACAGGTAACCACCTTGCGATATTTAACCTATCATTGTGACATATGAGCTCAACTTGTCAACCTGGTAAGTATAGGGCGTGAGAAGGAAATTTCTCGATGCACTAAATCGGCTCGCAGCCTTCCGTGAAGAATCGTACGGTTCGGGAAGTTCATGCTTTGCTGATTGCTGTCTCTTCTCTAACAGACACATGTGTTACACAATGGAACCCGCTT